AGGAGAGGAGAGGAGAGGAGAGGAGAGGAGAGGAGAGGAGAGGAGAGGAGAGGAGGGGAGGGGAAGATGGACAGAGAGGAGAGTGCGGAGGGGAGGGCAGAGGACGGTTAAACCTTTCGCTGCATCTCCTTCATCTTCGAAACCTGTGCCACGAAGAAGACTGGTCAACAATCTTTACCATCCCGCCACCATCCCGTCACCTGGTCCATGATTCTCTGCTTTCTCAGATCTAAAGTTTTGTTCCTCCTGCTTCTTCATCATCTTCAAGAACCACCACCCATTGAGGTATCCTCTTCATCTCTCTCCTCCTCCTCCTCCTCTCCCCAATTATCCTGCTCGAGCTCCTCCTGCTCCTCCTCGAACAACTCCGTCTTCCTACACGCCAACGGACCTGCAGCGAACGAGCGCATGTCCATCTTGCGATCGCTCGTAGACAGTGCTGCCTATCCTTATCCTCTCTGGCACCCTCGCAGCTCCCGCAGCTGACGTCGGCGCCTTGACCCTGCTCTCACTGACCGAGGCCAGCATCACAACAAGAGCAGGAGGAGGAGGAGATAGCTGACTCAGCATCGTCGACTACTCTGATGAGATGTTTGCTCCCTGCATCTCTCCTGTACTTCACTCCACCTTGCATGACGTCAGCTGTTAAGTCGGGCAAGGAAGTCAGACCGATCGTGATCATCCAGGAGGTTGGTGGCAGCAGGTCTTTGGGAATGACCTGCGAGAGAAATTTACCATGACAAGTGTCATAGGAGATGACAGAAGGGAGAAGATGTACATGGAACAGGAAAGACTATTTCTTATCATCGTCATCGTCATCGTCATCGTCATCGTCGTCACCACAATCACCATCATCACGTCATCATCATCATCATCACCACCACCACCACCATCAAGCACCTTCTTCGACCATGTCTTGTTCGTGTTAGCTTTCAACTTGTCAGATTTAAAAGTCTGTTTCTCTTGTGAGTTTGGACTTCGATCTCTCTGCTACCATGACAACCAGGCTCTTGTATACCCTGTAAGGTGCAACTGCGCCTCCTCTTCTTCCTGCCGCAACGACATGAGCTCATGTAGGCTGTCGAGTCTGCATCGTTACCCCTGCTCGGGTGGAAGCTGGTCCAGAACCTTGCAAGGGCGGGGCGGGTCAGGACGTTCCTCCTCCCTCTCCCTCCTCTCACCCTCTCCCTCCTCTGTAGCCTCCACGCGATCTCCCGCGAGCTGTGCAGATATGAATACCCTTGAGCTCTCGCTCTGCTCTGCTCTGCTCCTGTCACTCTCCTCCCCTCCCCTCTACCTCGTGTAGACAACGAACGACCAACATGCCCTCCTCTCTCGCTGGCATGCTGCTGACACGCGTCAATCTGAGTAGCACAACCTCTCCTCCCTCCTCTACATCGCTCGTCTTGTCTGCCTTGCTCTCCATCTCGCTCGCTTCCGCCTTGTCCTTCTGTCGTATCAGCTCTACAGGAACGAGAGTCACGAATCCCATTCCTCTTCCCTCCTCCCTTACGATTCCCAGACTTCTGGTAGAGCGACGTTCCCACACGCACGAGCTTCTTGCTCTCAAACAGCCTATTGCGATCATCAGCCAGTAACTTCCAGCTCCATACCTTCTCACCTTCCTTGTTGATTCGGGTACGGATAGGAGGACGGCATCGACCAACCCCCCCTCCCCCTCCCCCTCCCCCTCCCCCTCCCCCTCCCCCTCATCCTTACAGGCCTTCCGATCACGCCTACAGATATTTTCCTCCCCTCATCGCCATAGGTCGTCTGAGATGCACTTGAATCAGATCACTGCTGTCCTCTCCATCCCCCACCTCCCCCCAACCGCCCCTGTTTTCGTTCTTCCCGTTAGTCTTTCCCCTTGATCCTCCCCTTGCTCTTGATCCTGTTCTCGCTCTTCCCCGTCTTCTCGCCCCTTCCTCTCACTCTGTCCCTCCCTCTTGCTCTCTTGCTCTCTTGCTCTCTTGCTCTCTCCTCCTCCTCCTGCTCCTCCTCCTGGTCTGATTCACCCTGATTCGTTTCCCTAAAACTTTCTTTTTAAAATTGTTCACCCTATTCTTACCTCCAGGCTTATTCCTACCTACCACCCCTACAATTTACCCATGTACCCCCTTTTTGTCTATTGTATAACCCCTAAATTTTCCCTCATCCATGACCCCCACCACCATTCTTGTGTACCCTACCCTCTGCACATTCTAGTAATCTTCGCCTCTCTGTCATGCTGGCGTCTGTGGTGCGGCGGGCGGCGATGGGAGGAGGAGGAGCGAAGAAGATGACGGAGATGGCGAGGACAGGAGCGCTATCAGAGGCAGTGCAAGCAAGAGCAGCCATGGCCAAGGGCTCCTCCTGCCCCACTAGCTGCTCAGCCGTCAGTGTAGGCAGTTCCCTCCACCTCGAGGGCAGGAACGGCCAAGCCATGATGAGCAGGAGCAGGAAGGAAGCAGTTAGGGCGTGGGGGGTTGGAGGGGTTCTGTCACGGTCCTTCCATGGGATCATCGTTGAAGGGAAAGGGGAGCAAACCCTCCTGCAGCGCCTCGATCCCCGTACCCTCGCGGGGAAGGCTGTGGAACCATTGCAGCCATCAGCAGCACTGAGGGCAGGGAAGGTGCTTGGCGGTCAGGCGACACATCTTCTTGGTATGATGCAGCTGTTTGATGCAGCGCTATAGAGAGAACCTCCTGACAATGAGCCTTTCCTGCAGTTCCACAGGTACCTTGTTTCTTCAACAGTGTCCTGGCGGATAGGTCAGTCTTTACAGCCAACCGCTGGATCGCAGCGCTGACTTTGACTGGCATCAGAGCGATGGACCAATTCATCATCTTCCCAAAGCATCCTGCTCTTGAAGCTCAAGACATCTCCAACTTGTCGTACGAAGAGCCGGTGCAGGACGTTTCCGACCTGCCCTCCTTCCCCAACGTCAACGAGCCGGTGAGAAGCAAGGACGAGGACGCAGTCGTGTTGACCGACTTGTTTGGAAGATGCTTGCGATCAAGAGGACGTATCAGCCCCACACTCGTCGTAGGAAGAGGAAGCACGGGTAAGGCTGTGCTGTGTTTGATAGGGACTGGCGTGTTTGACGTGTGGGAAGATTTTTGCACAGGCTGAAATATAACAAGAATGTGCTGAAGCGCCGTAAGTTGAAAGGAAGACACAGGCTGACACCTGTCTAGAAGAAGAGCATGTCTTGCTGTTTGTTGCTCAGTCGAACATGTCAATTCTCCTTCAGAAGTGAATGAATGGTTGAATGCGATTGTACAGGTTTCAAATGAGGAGGAGGCATTTGAAAAGAATAACTCATATTTACGTCACTTGGTACAAAACAATCTACTCACTCACTAAGACACGAGATCTTCACTTCTTCACATCCTTGCAAACAAAACTACATCTCAAATTCGAACGCGAATTCAGAAAGAGATGAACAATCACGCTCGTTTTTAACAGATTCTTCGTTCTCTCGTTGACTCCTCTGTAAACTCCTCCAACGTCGCCTCTTCTCCTTCCTCTGTGCTCTTCCCCATGTCAGAATGATCGGTTTGCTGACAATCCTTGCACCCATGCTGCCTTTGGCGGTTTGGCGGCGGAGGAGCAGGCCATGGAGGAAGCAGCGGAGGAGGAGGATGATAAAGCAGAAGAATAATGTTTGTTCTCGGAGAAGGGAGCAGGAGGGGAATTGAAAATCTTTGTTCTGGGGGAGGGGGGGGATCAGGTGAAAAATGTTTGTACCCACGAGGGGAGCACATCGAAAACGTTTGTTCCCAGGAAGAGGAGGCTGATGCTACGACCAACGTCGTGAGAGGAGAAGGGAGGGGAGACAGTCGGGATTTTGAGATCGTTTGTTGTCGATCAAGCACAACAGCAACCCGTCTTGCTTCTGGACTGCAACTTCGACTCGTCAAACTGTCTCTAGTGAAAATGATAAGAACATGAAATGAATCCTCCGTCTCGTCTCGTCTCGTCTCGTCTCGTCTCGTCTATTCTTCTCTCTTCTACACCTCTTCTATGCTCCCCTTTACACCTCTTATCTGCTCTGATCCCCACGTCTCCTCTCCTCTCGTCTACCCAACCCTCCTCTCCAGTACACCTCTACTTTGCTCTGCCCTCCACGTCTCCTCTCCTCTCCTCTCCTCTCCTCTACACCTCTTCTCTCCTCTCATCTACACCTCTGCACTGCTCTCCTCCCCACCATTGACACTTTCCTCCCCACTTCTCCTTCCCACCTCATCTCTCCTCTACAACAGTCCTGTCCTGTCCTGTCCTGCCCTGCCCTGTCACTCTGCCCTGCCCTGCCCTCTACTGTCACTGTCCTGTCCTGTCCTGTCCTGTCCTGTCCTGTCCTGTCCTGTCCTGTCCTGTCTTCTTGCCTCCTCTCCTCTCCTCTGCTCTCCTTCCCACCTCTCCTCTCCTCTCCTCTCCTCTCCCCACCATTGACACTCTCCTCCCCTCTCTCCAGGCGGCGGCGCGGCTCATTGAACTTCGGAACTCCAGGAACCCGGCCGGCCCGGGCCCAACGTCAACCGTTGGACCGTGAACCCCGGGCCCCGGGCCGGGCCGGGCCCGGTGCCGCAACGGTACGCCAGCGGCGGGGGCCCGGGCCGTGCCGGCGGCTAAGCCTTCAGTCAGTGCCCGGGCCCGCGGCCACAGCCACCGACTCCGGGCTCGGATCCTCCGGGTACCCACCGGATCCTCCAAGGGAGGCCGGGTTCTCCTCCTCTCGGTATCCACTCAGCGAAAAGGAGTCTTTTCACTCTGGTCCAACAAAAAGAATTTGACCAGGGATCCGCTTACCCTGACCACCCCTCCCACTTCCAAGTCTTGTCACTCATTCACAGCTCATTACCGGTACTTTGGTAGTGAGTAGTACCGGTCCACTCTGGAATCAGAGAACCCCCTACCATGAAGGGTAGAGAGCAGCTCATGTCCCCGATTGCCCCCTCCTCGCTCCTCCTACTAAAACCTTGCTCCTCCTTCCCGCCGCTCCTTCGTTATAGGCTGCTGGTACAGCTCTCCTGCCTCCTGCCTCCTGCCTCCTGCCTCCTGCCTCCTCTCTCCTCCCTCCTCCCTCTCCTCTCTCCTCTCTCCTCTCTCCTCTCTCCTCTCTCCTCTCTCCTCTCTCCTCTCTCCTCTCTCCTCTCTCCTCCCTGCTCCTTCCTCCCTGCTCCCTGCTCCCTGCTCTCTGCTCCCTGCTCCCTCCTCACCCTCTTCCTTCAACTCTCTTCCACCTTCTCTACCTCCCACTTCATCTTTCTCCTTTTTCACCGCTCTCTGCTCGCTTTTTGCTCCTAACTTCCCGCCATTACTTTCAAGCTGCCACTTGCCCTCGCGCCAGTCCCAATCTTGTTCATGCTTTCTACTTCCTTGGCTCGTTTCCTTTCTCCACCTATGTTTGCTTCTTTGTTCTGCAAAACAACTGACACTCTTGTCTGCTAGCAACTTACTCTTGCCCATCGTTTCCGAACAGAAAACTCCGAAGTTTTTCCCATCGCTACCAAACAGGCACTATGCAGGTGAAGGGGCTGAGAGGTGAGATTCTTGCTACTGTGGTCATGGTCTCACGAGCATCATACTCCAGCTCTCTGGTTGCTGTCCTTGTGCTCCGCTGCCGTCCTTGCAGAGGAGGCCTCCACGAGCAAGGACGAGTCGGGGGAAAACAAGATGTTCAGTGTTACAGCCTTGTTCATTTGCTTCCGAGAGGCGCTGGAAGGGTGCGTCATTATGTCCCTACTCCTCAACATGCTGCACAAGACAGGGTTCGAGATGTACAAGAAGTGGGTTTGGATCGGAGCGATAGCGGGTATAGTCGCCTTCGTGCTCGTGGGAGCCATCTTCATCAGCGTCTTCTATGCAATCAAGTCAGCCGTCCCCGACGCCTTCATGTACGTGTTCGAGGGCCTGTTGGCTCTGTTTGCCAGCTGCATCCTGACGGCGCTCGGCCTCAACTTCCTGAGGATGAAGGATCTAGAGCGCAAGTGGACGGAGAACCTCTTCCAAGGCAGAGAGAGCCTGCCGGAAATACCGCAGGACGTGGGGTACCTGAAGAGGAAGTACCTGGAGCTGAAGGCGAAGCTTTCGATCAAAAACCAGGCGATCGATGACGAGGCAAAGAAGCAAGGGCTGACATGGTCGATGGTCTTCTTTATTACCTTCTCCTCTATCTTCCGTGAGGGGGTAGAGACCGTTTTCATGCTGCTCTTCGTCAACTCAGACCCTGCCGGGCTGGCCATCGGAGGGATCGTTGGGATCGTTTGCGGGATCGTGTTCGGGATCATGGTGCTGCTGGTGGGGAGATACTTCCTGGTTGACATCTCCACCTTCTTCCATCTGACCACCATCTTCATCCTCTTCATCGCCGCTGGACTGGCACGCTACTTCATCCATGAGTTCGAGGAGCTGGGGGAGGTACGGGCTAAGACTACCAACGACCCTATCATCCTACGCCCTCTCTACGACCTGACGGCCTCTTGGGGACCCGGGTGGTCTCAGAACTCCGGGTGGGGTGCGATAGCGAAAGCCCTGGTGGGGTATACCCACAAACCGACCATGCTGGAGGGGCTGTGCTGGCTGGGGTACTGGGAACTGATCATCATGGTTATGCTGCTGAGGTACAAGAGGGGAACCCTGTTCAGCAAGTACGTGGCAGGAAGGGAGGAGAGCTCGAGCTCTGTGGGCTCAGGAGATGCGAAGGTGAGGAGGGATCAGCTGGCAGTGTAAGGAAGAGAGAGGAAGAGCAATGGTGGTCCAGTGTATTTGTTGTTCACTTCAAAACTAAATCTCCTCCAAAATGCACTTGATCGCGGGCCTGCTGTCCCTCGTGCACAGAGAATGTGTCTTGTCTTCTCCTCTCCTCCTCATTGTTTTACCTTAGCGTTCGTCGCTGCATCAAGACAGGTCAGAAGGGTCGTCCTTCAGAAACTGAATGCCCTGGATCGCGACTCAGCATAGCACCGAGCAACGGAGGAGGAGCGAGTTACCTCTGTCTCTGCGCCAGCGTTGAGGACTGGAGAGCTGCCCCCTTCATCGTCGTCCTCAGCTTTGCTCTGCTAGTACGTCATCTCAAGGGTCGGGGAGCAGAGGAGCGGGACCCCTTCTTCCTTCCCCTGCTCAACTCCACATCCATTCACCCTTGCGCGTTTAGTCGGCCTCTCCTCCTTCTCCTCCTCCTCCTGCTCGCCAGATGTCAAATCGAGCTCAACTAGCGCAAACAGCCCACCTGACAGGTAGCAGAGGACCCTCCCACGTCGCCCGACTTCTCTTCCTCCCCCTTGCCCTCCACACCGTTCGGTGAGGGCTCGTTGGACCGCTCGTGGTGCTCTTCCTTCTCCTCGTAACGCTGCTGATCTTCCTCCCGTAGCCTCTTCTGCCTCTTCGACAGCTCGCTCTGCTCGCAGTATCCGTACAGATGCTGCGACTTTGACTTGCCGCAGTTCTTACAAGTCCTGTTGCCTCCGAACAATGTCCACAAGAATCCACGGCCTTCCCATCTGCCCAGCGCCGTCAGACTGGCTGCCGGACTCGAGGCAGGGGAGGGGAGGAAAATGATGGAGCGGAGAAGGAGGACGAGAGTAAGAAGGGAGGGAGGAAGCCTGAGGGTTAGAGTGAGAAGCGGGAAGAACGGAAGGAACCGAGGGATGCTGGCGAAGGGAGGGCAGCAGGAAGGGAGACAATGGGAATGATACAATGAGGAGAGGATGATGGCGAAAGGGACAGGAGGGAAACAATGTCTTTCCTGCTCTTCGCGTCTCTGTCCTTGCACTGGATGCAAGCGAAAGTTTCGTAGACTAGCAGTCCATGTCCTCGCGCCTGGCATGAGGGAGATAAGGAGGAGGAGGAGAACGGACGAGATCGTCATGATCAACTCACACACTGAGGGAGGGAAGCAGCGAGTCCAACCGAGGCAAGACAAACCAAATTACATTCAGAAAGCTGTTGATTCATCACATTCAAAACTCACATTCTGAGATTCATGGGTCAGTGAGCAAGATTGAACATCCGAACAAACTTACACAACACTAGCAGCCGGGAGGACGTGAAAGTTGAAACACGAGCGAATGTCAGGCACAAAGAAATTCGAACAACTTGATTTGATTACCCACTGAAAACCAAAACGACATGTCAGAATGTGAACACGACAAGATTTACTTCCTTACATTCTGCACATGAAGGAAGTTTGTGACAATGAAGGCAGGAGATTGTGAAACAGTCAGTAAACATCTTGCTGGATGTCAAGAACAAAAAGCTACCAGCTGCCGAGCAAGTCATTTTCAGATCCGTCAATGAGTCCAAGAGAGCGGAGGAGGCAAGGGAGGAGGGGAACGGGGGGGGGGGGGGGAGGGGGCGAGGGGGAGGGGAAGTGGGGAGGGGATGGGGAGGGAGAGGGGAGGAGAGGGAGAATAGGGGAGAAGAGATGATAGCATGTCAAACATCACAGAAAGGAGAAGAGATCTCAGAATTCACTTACCCCCTGATCATACAGTCAGGAAATACACAGTGGCGAGATCGGTACGATTCAAGCATTCTAGTCAGTTTCTGCCATTCAAAGACATATTGACTCACTCCCTGCATTGAGCGACAAGATGAGATAGATATCATCAGGTGAGATCATGACGCATGCTCAGGTAAGACAAGTTGAAAGAAAGAGTATACCGCCTGAGTACGCGCGGTCATGGGGGATCACAAGAGCGAAAGGCGAAGCCACTCACGCATTTGTTGGCGTCGTCGCTATCCACCTCTACGATGAGCTACAAAATTCTTAGTGATGCACGCATGAAGGATCTCAGCCCTCGTTCTGCTGCTCAATCATGAACTACGCTTCACTGTAACCTTTCCCGATTCCCCCAGCATAACTCTGCTTCCTCAATTTCTGCTCCCGCATCTCCTGACCTGCATCTCCTCCTCTCCGCTGCCCTCCTCGCCCCCGCTTACTCTTCCTTCCCTTCTCTCCTCCTCTCTCCTCCTCTCCCTCTCCTCCCCTCCTCCTCCTCCTTCACCTTGCATACTTCGCATGGCCACGGCATTGCGGCCACGGGAAGCGTACAATCCTCTTTTGGCAATTGGGAAACAAAAAGTGCTTAAAATAAGTAAAAACGCTTAAAAATAAGCTAAATTTGACTAGAGGTTGATTGGTATGTTGAGTAAACCTTCATGGTACTCCTGTTAACATTCCTGCCTGACTACTTCAAATTTCATTGGCAAATTTGAAATTCTCAAAAATAGCATGGATTGTTGGTGTTTCCCAGGCGAAAAAAAAATTCCCAGGCCCCGGAGTCACAATATCCGGCGATTTACGTGGACGACACTGAGGACAGGACCGGGACTCGGGGACAGGACCGTGAGGGTACATGACTCTCTTTACATGACAGTGACGACAGTGACGACACTGACAGCCAGTGACTGCCACCGCAGTGCCCGGCCCGGTCCCCGGTCCCGGTCCGATCCCGGTCCGGGAGTCCCGCCGGGTCCCGGAGTCTCGGGGCCCAGTTGACAGTGACACTGAGGCTGAGTGCAGCCACAAGTGCAGTGCGGCGCAACCAACTTTGTCGGCTGACAGTAGGTGGGGTATAGGGAGGGAAATGGGGGATACCCATAGTGAATTTAGGGGGTGCTTGAGGTATGAAGAAGGGGTAGGGGTCCAAGTTTGTGAGGGTGGAGAACCAGACTCGAGACAAGAATGCGCAAAAGCTAAGGGCGAGGAGGAAGAGGCGAAGAGAGCAGTGAAGGAAGGAGGAGGAGGAGGAGGAGGACGAAGAAGAAGAAGGAGAAGAAGAAGAAGAAGAAGAAGAAGAAGAAGAAGAAGAAGAAGAAGAAGAAGAAGAAGAAGAAGAAGAAGAAGAAGATTAGGAGGAGGAAGAGGGAAGGGAGGTGAGATGAGGAGAGGGCAGTAGAGAAGAGGGGAAGCGAGGACTCAGAGCAGATGAGAGGTTGGACCGAGAGGATAGAAACATTTTAGAAGCGGGAGTGGATGGGAATTTAAGGCATGACAAGCAAGAGGAAATGAAAAGGAAGGGGGAGACGGAATGGGAGGAAGGGAGGACGCATGCTTATTTGGAGGTATAAGACTGAAAATATCCTCGTCTAACGTTCACTAAGGAACAACACGGTTCCATGGAGTTTTCTTCAGCTCTCAAGTTGACAGGTAACCTCTTACCCTCAAGCTCCCTCCCTCAACCGTTCCATCCTGCCTCACTCGCGCTGGCCCCAGGGTTGGACGACTATATCACCCCCTCTCAAGCTTGTATCAAGCCCGTCGAGTCAGGTTGTGCCGAAGCTTGCTGCTTCACAGCGTTGACAAGCCTGCAGGGGTGAAGGAGAGCGGGAAGGGCGGCACCTTGACCATTCAAGTATGACATGCTGTCTTATGAAAGAGAGGAGATGGATGGAGAGATGGATGGAGAGGAGATGGATGGAGAGGAGATGGATGGAGAGGAGATGGAGGGAGAGGAGATGGAGGGAGAGGAGATGCAAAGATGTCTGATGATGGAGGTGAATGAGGAGTGATTTTCCTTTGGGCAGCTGGAAGAGAATGGAACTTACTCGGAAGTTCACGGGGATGGGTCGAAAGTTCAGCTCAAACCTGCAAAGATCACGTTGAATGATTGTCTAGCATGCAGGTGAGGTTGACGGTGGAGCGAGTGCGAAGAAAAGGGGCAGGAGGAGTGGCAGAGAGAGGGAGGGAGGGGGAAGAGGACGAGGAGGATGGAGGAACAGGAGGGATGAGAAGCAGGAGGAAGAGGGAGGAGGAGGAGGAGGAGGAGGAGGAGGAGGAGGAGGAGGAGGGGGCAGAGGGAGGAGGAGGAGGAATGGTCTCGATATTGATCTTGTTTTCAGCGGGTGCATAACATCAGCTGAGAGTGTCTTGATCACGCAGCAATCTGTCGATGAATTTCTCTCAGTGAGTTGTTTGTCCGGATCGACTGTTTTGATTCGAGTTGTAAGGTGGTAGAAAACAAACTCAATGACATCAAGATTGTTGTCTCTGTTTCTCCGCAAGCCTGGGCCTCTGTTGCAACCCAATACAACATCTCCGGTGAGGGTACAAGGTACATCAGCAAGGATTGTTGAGGTGGGATAGGTCCATCCGCTCTTGCGAGGATTTCAACTGTGTTCAAACAGCTAGGAGCGATCTCTGTGAGCAGCATGAATGTTGCTGTGAGTGTTGAGAAGTGAGCGAGGTTCAGGTTCTTGACATATCACTCTTTCGCGATCTTTCTCTCGTGGAATCATGTCAAGAATTTGTTCATCGGCTCACAGCAGAAAGGAAAACTCCCGTGATTGCTTCTGCATGCCCAGGTTGATGAGGCTCTTTGTCAACCAGAGCGCTGACGACAGTCATCAGGATGGGTTTGTTATGCTGAGAAAACACAGCACTCGGCGCTTCCGTTTCTTTCCTCCGTCAAGTCTCCACAGCAGATCTCAGGTGAATCATTTGGCGACGAGCTGAGGTCTGAACAGCAGCAGGCACCCTTGTCAAGCAGATGTTTGCAAGGAGGTTGGGAGTGAAGCCTTCCAGCATCTATCACGTCTGTCTCATGCCGTGAGTGTTGCTCTGACCTCGCCTTGCCTGACTCACATGTTCGTTCTCAGGTGCTTCGACAAGAAGTTGGAAGCCTCTCGCGATGACTTCATAGAGCAGGTCAGGAGGAGGCTGCAGGTGACGTTGACTTGATGGGTTGTCCCAGGACTCAAACAGCCGCGAAGTCGACCTCGTCCTCACATCTGCAGAGGTTGAACTTTCTCAACATCAAACTCCTCTCCTCTCCTCACCTCGTCCTTGTTTGCAGATCCTTGATCTGCTAGCAAGGAAAGGCATCAACTTCTTGGAAGTGCAGGAGGGTTCGATAGAGAACGTCTTCGGAGAAACGATGAGTCAGCAGGCTGTCACCAACAACCTCTTCGGAGTACATGGATCCTCTGGGAACTTTGCCAAGGAGGTAAGTCTTGGAGGTCTGAAGAAGTAGGAAGTCAGTGATGGAGATGGTTTCAAGGTATTTGTGCACGCTGCAAGGCAGATCTTCGGCAAGGACGTCAGGGTGACGGAGGCGTCTGACGGTGAGTCTGAGAAGGATGAGAAGAGAAGAAGCTGAAGATTCTCACGTGAGAGTGCAGATGTTGAGATGCAAATTGAAGACCCCTCCTCTTCCTCCTCCTCCTCCTCCTCCTCTTCCTCCTCCTCTTCCTCCTCCTCCCCCCCAATCAACTGTGTTTGGAAACAGGTCAGAGCTGTTGCGGACGCTTCTCTCTTCTCATGCTCCTGCTCCCCAGGTCCGCAACAGCGACTTTCATGAGCTGGTGCTCTTCGACCAGCGGGACAACAAGACTCCCCTCCTCAAGTTTGCGCGCTGCTACGGCTTCCGCAACATTCAGAACATCATCCGACAGATCAAGTCGAGCAAAGGATGCGCATACCATTACATAGAGGTGATGCTTGCCTCCCCTACTTCCTCCTGATCTGACCCTGCTCTTATTCTTGCTCTTATTCTTGCTCTTGCTCTTGCTCTTGCTCTTGCTCTTGCTCTTGCTCTTGCTCTTGCTCTTGCTCTTGCTCTTGCTCTTGCTCTTGCTCTTGCTCTTGCTCTTGCTCTTGCTCTTGCTCTTGCTCTTGCTCTTGCTCGTGTTCTGTCCTCCCCGTTGTCTCCTTGTGCACTATTCCTGTCACTGCTCTTCCTCCTGCTCCACGTGCTTCTTCTGCTTCTCCTCTTTCGTCTCCATTCCCTCCTGCTCTTACTTCTCTTCTCACTCATTGTTTCCTTTCTCGCCTTCCTGCCAGGTTATGGCTTGTCCCAGCGGGTGCGTCAACGGAGGAGGACAAATACGTCCCGACGAGTCAACGTGTGCTCCTGCTCCTGCTCCTGCTCCTGCTCCTGCTCCTGCTCCTGCTCCTGCTCCTGCTCCTGCTCCTGCTCCTGCTCCTGCTCCTGCTCCTGCTCCTGCTCCTGCTCTTACCCTTCCTCAGCTCCTTCTCCTGCATAGCTTCTGCTCCTGCTCCTTCTCAGCTTCTACTCCTGCTCCTCTCCTCCTCGCACATCCCTCATGCTCTGCCAACAGCAAGGAGGCCCCGAAGGAAAGGCTTCTCAGGGTGCAGGAGACTTTCCGTAACGGCCAGTCAGAACGTCCGCCGCATGAGAACCCGGATGTCAAGAGAATCTACCAGGAGGTGAAGCAGCAGCTGAGGTTGAGCTGGGCTAGATGCTGAGGAATGAAGCTGGGTTGGGGTGAGCCGGATGAGAGGACGATGAGGAACAGTGATGGGAAGGATGCAAAGGCACGATTTGAGAGGGAGGGGAGAGGTGCGAGGAGAAGGTGCGAGGGAGGAGGAGTAGCTGGAGGAAGAGAAGGAGGATTAAGATGATGAGGAGGAAGAGGGATGATGATGATGATGATGATGATGATGATGATGATGATGAGGAGGAGGAGCAGCAGCAGCAGCAGCAGGAGAGAGAAGCGAGGAGCAGGAGGAGGCTGATGTGGGGTTGACAGGTTGTATCCTCGTCTCCTTATTCGGAGCCTTCCTGCCGTCTGCTGCACACTTCTTTCCATGCGAGGACAGAGACGCTTGCTAACCCGCTCTCGATCTCATGGTAGAGGACGAGGACGCGGACGAGGGGACGAGGACGAGGACGATAAGAGAAGGAGGGCAAGTGTACAGTAAAGATATGTTGAGGGTAGGGTAGAAGGGTGACATGTTTCTGGGAGGAGAGAGAGAGAGAGAGAGGCGAGTCGGATTGCAGATGTTATCTCACAACTTCTTTCATCGACAAGAACATGTCTTCTACCAGCACCATCACCGCACAGCCTCCATCCTGCAAGACAGACACTGCTGGTTGTACTGTAGAGTCTGTCCCACCTGTGTAACCCTGTTTGCTACCTGTAAGGAACAAGTCAGAGCAGACACGCGGCTGGGCAAGGTCAGTACGATGCTGTGGAGGGCTTCGTTTCCAGTATCCAGCTCCTGCCGCCATGCGTTAACCGTTGGAGCAGCGGACGGGACAACGTCACCATGATGTGGGAGACTATGATGGAGAATCGCAACGAAAGTTCCTCTAGTGTGTTGTGACAAGATCTCAACACCTGTCAGACATTCTCAGCAACAGAAAGAACTTGACGATTTCACATCCAGCAGCGTCATCAGCAACAAACAGAACAACTCGATGCTCAACAACAAGACTAAGACTTGATTGTCCTCACCCGCAACACCTCCGACCCCATCGTGTTCCCAGATGCAGTTTGCATGACCCTCTGGCATTGACTCTCGACATGCATGAGCTCACGGAGGTAGATGATCAACCTTGCTGCTGACACTCTCATCTCTCCTTCATCTGCTCTTTCGCTGCCCATCCTTCCTCCTTGCTCAACCCTCTGCAGATCCTCGCTTCCTGTTGCAAGAAGGGCCCTGTTTTCCTCCCCTAAGACGTAGAAAGCATTCCTGCATGCTTCACAGATCGGAGACCGCGGCTCGATGTCACTGCAATCGAGCATCAGCAGAGCTGGATCACATCAAATAGATGACAACACCTTTTCTTTGGAGATGTAAGACAATCTGAAAACCTTCAAAGGTTCATAGTGTATCAGAAAAAGACCCATTGATACAACAAATGATTCTCACCCTCTCAAGAAATCGACCTGCGCTTGTTTCATCTCATTTCGACCTCCCGTCATGACAAACGGCTTGCTCTTCTCTCCCCACAGCAGCAGATGCGCTCGACAGGTCACTTGATTCTTCTCCCTTCTCGTATTGCTCCTTGTCTCCGCCATGGCTAACAGCGTCATGGAGGAAGCTAAAAAGAACCCTGCTTGCAGATATCTTGAGCTCACTGATGTATCAAGATGCTGATGATACGAAGGAGTTTCGACGAGGATGAATCAAATTCTCCTCCTCCTCTTCCTCTCCTCCTCCTTCCCTCAGTTCAAACCACTCGCCATTGTGCAACTCGCCGTTATGAGCTCAATGTATCCCTCATCTCCCCACTGACCACACCCCGGGAGCCGGGGCCAGAGCCGGGGCCTCTCCTGAGAGCCGGGCCCGGGGCCCGGCCAGAGCCCGGCGGCCGGGCGGCCTGAGCCGGGGCCGGCCGGCACCGGGCATCATGGCATGCCGGCCGGCCGCATAGCGGCTGGGCCCGGCGGGGCCTTCCGAGCGTCCTTTACTCAAAGTTAAGTTAAAAATCATTACGAGGACAATCAGGAGAGTCCGATCGAGGAGGCTTGACCCTGACACTGTCGCACAGGCCAAACGGCGAGAAGAGAAAGACAGCGAGAACCAAACCCAATCCTGCCGACTGCTGTCCCCCAAACTTAACTGATACCTTCCGAGCACTACAGGCATGCTGGGGGGCAGTATGAGCCTTGAGGCTGACGAGCTCGAGGTTCATCATGCCTCTTGCACGCCCCCCGGAGGCGGTAGCAGTACGGTAGGCGGCCATCAGAGCCTTCAGTGCTGCCTTCACGTTCGTGACGACAAGAGAAGACCATAGCTTCTCACCTTCGCAGAGCTCGGATATTGAGTCAGAGGTGCACGTTCAAACTTGAAAGGTTCTCCTAGAGGAGTGACGGTGTGATCGGACGCAGCGACGCAGCCAGCGTCCGAGCGGACAGAGTCAGGTGCCTTGATGGTACGGGACCAGTTTTACAGCGGTTTGCCCAGCCGGGGGTTCAGTCACGATTGTTGATTGTATGAAGTTTGATTGTATTACAGACAATTCAGATGAAATTTGAGATCAATATAGTACAACAAGGATTCGAATTGTTAACGAGAGATAAGAAAGCTACAATCAGGTTGATCGGAGGTAAAGTGTTTCTACTCCTTTCGATGACAGCAACGTGTTTGCAACTTCCGTAACATCCTTGGCAGAGCATTGTGTTGTTGTTCTCCACGTTGGAGGTAAGCAGGGAGCTATTCTCTTCCCTGCGACAGATTTCCTTGCTGCCATGATGCTCTCATAGCAGGCACCATCCTCGATCGCCACTCGTACACTTGCCCCACTGCCGTCGCGAGTTTGCATTGCTTCCAAATAAGCCTCTTGCTCTTTGTTGAGGTGGAAAACTGTTTTCTTGAGCTCGAGTTTGAATGACTTGGGAGCAGAGATGCTGAACGTGGTACACGAACCGGTCATGGGAGATGAAACAAGAATTTGTGGAAGGAAGTGAAAATCGACGAGGAAAACGACGAGGGGCAGGAGGGCAGGATAGTTCGAAAAGAAGGAGGGAAGTTCGAAGGTGCCGGAGATCGCTAAGGGGATGGCAGAGCAGGAATGGGACAAGCTGCAAGGAGAGGCGAGGCGAGGAGGGTCGAAGGGGAAGGAACTGGGAGGAAGGAAGGGGTCGGTGATGGGAGGTCAGAGGTACCGATGATATAGTCTACAGAGGAGGGCGGATTTCCGTGTAAGCCTGGCATCCCGCCTGGTGCACCGCGGGATGTCTGGACCCACCCTAGATGGAACAAAGAAAATTGCGCAAAAGGACCCGGTACCCATAAAACGAGTAATGATCGGCCTCTAAAGATCGCAACGTTTCGCAATCATTTATCATAAAAGTCATCAAAAGCATCTTTTTGGGATTCTTGCTTGTCATAAATAAAGGGTAAAGAATTGAAAAGCTCTATTTTGAAGTCTTGAAATGGCCTCATCGCATATGCAACCCTCAATGGAGGTTATCTCCGTTTCGCAATTATCGAAAAATTGCTTTTTCATCATTGACTGGCAGCCACTCGCATCATCAGATTCCGATCGCTGTGTTTTCAAATCTTCTTGTCGCTGACTACCCTACCCCATAAAAACTCCTTCGAAATCTTCTACGGAGGGGTAATTGGAACGTGTAGTAGAAGGACCTCTGCTGCGCCTCCTTTTCGACCTCTTCGGCCCCTTCTGCCATTCACCTCCTTGTCGTGTCTTTTTCATTCGCGTCAGCATACGAAGGGGTCTCCTTCCTCCCCCTCTCCTCCCTCCCAACGACATGACCAGCATGCCGAGAAGCTACATCCTATGGACTTCAGAGCATGTATGGCAAGCTCCCGGCAAAGTACAACTTACCACAGAGATCTCTCCGTACAAGGCGCTCCCAGCATGTTCGTTTGGTGATCGGGGTTACAAGAAACGGAAGCACTCTCAGATCTCCATACACGACAAGCCTTCCATGGATTCATCGTGACCCTCGTCAGCTCTGTGGTTGAAAGTACAGCACAAGTTCCCATTCCGTAGTTACTTGACAGCGTCAACATCTGCCCATTGATCGAGGGATCACTTTTTGTCCTTTGAAGAACCGTTGTCGGGTCTTTCACAGCCTCTTCTCAACTTGCGTTGTGGTCCCTTCACGATGGAGCCAACACCCTGATAGATTAAAGATTTATTGCGCGTTTCCGTGCAGACTCAACTTTCATTTCTTCTTCTTCTTCTTCTCGCCTCCTTTCCCTTTCCCATCTTTCCCTATAAGCAAGGTGACTAATAACCTCCTTCAGGTTCGAACACTGACAAACCTGCTTTTTTGTCGGCGCTCTTGGCCTTTTTCTTCTTGGAAGGGTCAAATATCTGCGTTTGAAATCCCATCAACACAATCACTTCCCAGCAGAAGAGAAAACCTTGGTGTTTGTATTCCTCAGCTCCATCTGCCCGTAGACATCATACACCATGGGTGGAAGAAGAGCTATATTGGTGTGTGTCAGGTAGCAATCAGGGAGGGATTACAAATCATCACGATCACATGTGATTGCGTTGTATCCGTTCTCCTTTGCCCAGTAGTACGCAGTCTTGCCCTGGTTGTCCTTCATATCTACCAGCCTTTCGCCAATCGGCAAGCTTTCATCCTCTATGCTGCTACCAACATGCCTGTAAGAGGGTAGGCCAGATACAATCAGAGCATCTCACCATGTGTCAATCAAGAACTCCGCTATCTCCAGATACCCCTTCATAGCACAGATGTGCAGAGCGGTCCGGCCTTCCTTGTCCTGTACACGGGGGTCGGCCCCGGCCCCCATGAGCTCCTTCACCATCTCGAGCTCCCCCAACAGCGTCGCTGCGTGTAAGGCTGTGCTCGCCCCGACCTCTTCGTTGTCTTTCAAGTTCACGTCTGTCAGAGAGTGTCAGCACTGAGCAGATGCGTTAGAGCTGAGAAACGAATGACCAGGTCTGAACTGCAGGATGACTTTGAGCATTTCAATGTCTCCAGATTTGACAGCGACATGGCACAAGGTCGCCCCGCTCGAGTTCCTGATGTTGACATCGCCGTCCTCCATCAGGATCCGACGGGCGTACTCCAGGTCACGACGGCCGACGGCATCGAAGAAAATGTTTGGATTCATGCCGCCAGGCCTCTTTGAGGGAGAGGAGTCAAATCCTCGTATGCTCGCGTATTTGTTCTTTATGGATTGCAGCCACTGCAAGGCTGGGGCATCCTTCTCTGACTGCATCTGAACTTGCCCTTGCCTGTTGGCCAGTACAGATCACTTCTGAAGTTCTGCTCAACATTCATGCTTCAGTTCACCAACTCCAGGCTGCTGTTTTCACTCATTGCACACAAACAGGCATGCTACCTCTCAAACATTCAATCTGTTCCTACTACAACGGCATCTTACCCTCTTACAAGCAGATTGTTCGTAGCATACACCGCTTGAACCATTCGTATTCTGAACTTGTACTCTTCCTGTCTTTTCTCCTTTTCACCCGGCCTTACATCCCATCCCTTGCAATTACCTCTTCATCTCCTCCTTTCCTTCTCCTCCTCCTTCCTCCTGTATCTTCTTTTCTCCTGTCTTCTCTGCTCTTCTCCTTACTCTTCTCTCTTGCTCGTGCTCGTGCTCGTGCTCCTCTACTCTCCTCTATTCTACTCTACTCTCCTCTCCGCTCCTGCTCCTTTTTCCTGCTCCTGCTCCTGCTCCTGCTCCTGCTCCTGCTCCCTTCCCCCCCCCCCCCCTCTCCCTCCCTCTCCCTCTCCCTCCCTTCCTCCCTCCCTCTCTCTCCTTCCTCCTCCTTCTCATGTCCTGTCTCCTCCTGTCCTCTACCCTCCTCCCCTTCCCTCACCTTCACGCTTGATCAAAAGTTTCACCTTCACCATGACAAACGAGCAGCAACTGATATTATTTTTACTCAAAAGATTTACTGAAAAGATTTACTCAAAGTTAAGTTAAATCCATGTCATGATAATCGGATCGGAAGCCATGCGGCGGTCCTTGTTTTGTTGTGATTCAGAATGATGATAGAGTCTTCCTCCCAAGAGCGAACTTGGGACAGTGACCATGCAGTCGTTGACGTGTCTTTCCGATGTCACTGGAGCGAAGTAATTCGAGCAAGGATCATCGGCGGACAGGGAGCTCGGAGAAGGCTGGAGAGTTCTTGTAGAGAAAGAGCAAGCAGATTCGTTTGTTTCTCTCTCTGTTTACTTCAATCATGACTTGAGCATCATAAAAACAGCCAACTGTTCGTAATGGTGGGTCCATGGGATGGAGAAACTTTCTTTCTGGTCGGAGCTGCCGCGCCCAAGACCAGCCTGCGTAACCGTGATAAGTGAAAATACAACAGCATATTGAGGTGTTGTTCGGCTTCGTCGATCAGGATACTACCTTGTGGCTCGTTGGCTTTATCGAAAACACCGTTTCTGTTTCCGGGTGTAACGAGCAAGGAGAGGGCAAGAGTGTAGATAATCTTACAACACAATCTTTAGATCCCAAGAACTATTAGTCTCCTCTCCTTACGAGCGCTTCTTCCTCCCTCCTCCTCTTCGCCTCTCCCGGAGTCCTGGCCGGCATCCCCCAGGAAGGCTCTCCCTCCTCAGTTGGGTCTCGGTCTCAGGCAGCAGGGAACTGAGCCACCATCTCCTTCCCCTTCTCAAATCAGCACGTCCATGTTTCCATTACGCGTCGAGGGGGTAAACTCCTCCAAACTCTTCCCTGAGGGACACCGGGGTGGGTCAGCAAGTTGACCATGTATAGGGGTGAGGTCGATTTGACTAAGAGGAAACCTAGTGAATGAAGCGAGTAGTGTGGGTGTGTATGACATCAGAAACATGCGAGGGGTGGGGTGGCGAACCACACCCTGTCCTTAGTCCGTACTAGTGACCATTTTTGAAACTCCCCTCACCCCCACCCACCTATCCCTGCCCCATCTACCCCACCCCTGGTAATCACGGAGTCTACAGGGTGTCCTGCTTCTTTTTTTGGAGGTATCACGAATTCAAAAGGAACAGATGTTGTCACAAGAGCTCAATCATTGACGACTCACAGCAACATGCAGCAGTCGAATGTCAATCCTGTGTTGACTCGGGACGAAGTTGTTGAAACATCTTACGAAGTTGAAACATCCTCTGCGAAAGAAAGTGATGGTGAAAACCAAGGGAAAACATCCTTCCTTGCTCTCTTCCGTTTTGCTAGTGCGATGGACCGCTTTCTTATCGTCGTATCCCTCATCGGCTCTGTTGCAACTGGTGCAGCGCTCCCTGTGTTCACCCTCTACTTCAAGGACCTCATCGACGGGGGGTTCGGTGCAGGATCGCAATCTGCCGAGGAGGTCAACAAAGCTGCTCTCAACTTCCTCTGGATCAGCCTTGGCCTGTTCGTGTGTGGCTCCATCTCCAACGGCTCGATGCTCTTGGCCGCTGCAAACCAGGGGTCTCGGCTGAGAAGGCAGTACGTGAAGGCCATCTTGAGGCAGAACATCGCCTGGTTTGACACTCAGAAGACCGGAGAGATCACCACGTCGATCGAACGCGACTGCTCCAACGTGCAGGGAGCGATCGGCGAGAAAGCCGTGCTCTTCGTGCACAACATGTCCACTTTTATCATTGGCATTGCGCTGGGCTTCTGGCAAGGGTGGCAGATGGCGTTGGTGAGCTTGAAGCAGTGGTCGTTGACAAGCTCCCAACTGACTGCGAAGCTGCAGGTGATTTGTGCCTGTCTGCCGCTGCTGGCCGGGGCCGGGGCTTGGATGGCCAAGAATCTCGCAGGGATTGCTTCCAAAGGAGAACACGCATACCGCTCTGCAGGTGTGGAGCGAGCTTGTTGGTGGGTGAGTGTGCTGACGGGCCTTGGCTGAGCAGGAGCTGTCGCTGAGCAGGCCATCACGGGGATCAGGACCGTAGCCTCTCTGCGAGGAGAAGAACGAGAGAACCAGAGGTTCTGCTCGAACCTGGACGAGGCGCTAGACATGGGGATCAAGAGGGCTCGCACAAACGCGCTGGGAATGGGAGTCGTGTTAAGCACTACTCTTTTGCCCTACGCCCTAGGGCTTTGGTTTGGGAGCTGGCTGATATCGCATGGCATAACCAACAGCCGAACAGGGTTGCTCTACTCGGCCGGAGATGTGATGCTGGTCTTCTTCGCCATAGTGCTGGGAGGATTCAGCCTCGGTCAGGTGGGGCCATGTGTGCAGGCGTTCATGAAGGGCCAGGCGTCGGCCAAGAAAATCTTTGATATCATCGACCGCAAGCCTCCCATTGACATCCAAGACCCGTCAGGTGACAAGCCAGCTGGCGTGAAAGGTGATCTCTGCCTCAAGGGCGTTGCCTTCACCTACCCAGCTCGTCTCGATGCTCCGATCTTCACCTGCCTTAACCTCAACATCGCAGCTGGGCAAACGGCAGCCCTAGTCGGAGCCTCAGGAAGTGGAAAAAGCACTGTGATCCAGCTGCTGCTTCGCTTCTACGACCCGGACGAAGGGCAGGTCATGCTGGACGGGAGAGACCTGCGAACTCTCAACGTGAAGTGGCTCCGCGAGCATCTGAGCATCGTGTCCCAGGAGCCGATCCTGTTCGCGGTCTCAATTGCGGAGAACATCAAGTATGGCAAGCCCGACGCCACGATGGACGAGATCAAGAAGGCATGCGTGGCGTCCAACGCTCACTTGTTTGTCGCCGGGCTTCCGGACACGTATCATACGCTGTGCGGGGAGAGGGGGACGCAGCTCAGCGGCGGTCAGAAGCAGAGGATCGCGATCGCGCGCGCCGTCATCTCCAATCCCAACGTGCTCCTGCTGGACGAGGCCACGTCGGCCCTGGACTCGGAGAGCGAGAAGCTCGTACAGGACGCGCTGGACAACCTCATGGAAGGGAGGACCGTCGTGGTGGTCGCTCATCGCCTGTCAACCATCCGCAATGCGGACAAGATCTGTGTGTTCAAGACGGGAACCATCGTCGAAGAGGGCACGCATGAGGAGCTTTATGCAAAGGAAGACGGCTTCTACCGGGAGCTCGTCTCGAAGCAGATGGTGGCAGGAGAGGCAGCGATTGGAGGGGCTTCGGCAACAGCAGAGAAGAAGATGCCCGCAAACGACGTGGCGCAGGGCTCATCAACAGCAGTGAAGTCTCCTGAGGTGAAACTCAAGGAAATGAGCAATCAGGAACAGCAGAAGGCAGAGAAGGGCTACCTGAAGCGAGCCTTCAAGCTCAACAGCCCAGAGTTCTTCCCCTGGGCGTTGACGGGGTCGGTCGGAGCCTGCATGAACGGAGCGGTATATCCTGTGCTTGCACTTCTGCTGACGGAGATGCTTGCGGGCTACAGTCTGTGCCAGGAAAAAGAAGGCATAGATCCTTTCAATCCGGGCAAGAAGGTTGTAGTCTCTTATTTCATGGATGCAAAGAGCTGCGGAGCATCCTGCCTATACCTCGCCACCCATCAGTGGAGTGGTGAATGTTTGAGTGAGAATAACACAAAGATTTGGTGCTACCAGGTTGCTAATTCTTCGGCCGGACATTACATTCGCTTCTACAGCAGCCAACCCGATGAAGCCGTAGCAGTAGTTCAAGATCTCCGACTCCATGATATTGAAGCACTCGTTTCTACAACTCTACTCCTTCGGAGTGATGGGCGAGCATCTCACGCAGCGCCTGAGGAAAATGTGCTTCGCCTCCGTGCTCCGGCAGGACGTGGGCTTCTTCGACTACCCGGAGAATGCGAGCGGCAGCCTGACGACTAAGCTTGCAAAGGACGCTTCCTTGGTAGAGAATGCGGTGGGATCCACAATCGGCCTGATGATCCAAAACCTGGTCGTCATGGCAATATCCCTGACGATCGCTTTCATCCGAGGGTGGATGCTGACTCTGATCTGCTTCTCGACGTTCCCGCTGATGGTTGCTGCCAATATGCTGCAAATGAAGTTCATCGCGGGCTCTGGTGGCGACCTGTCTGCTGCTTATGAGGTAAGCGATGGCTGTAAGGTTCTCTGTCTAGAGAAAGCTTCAACTTGTAGCATCACTTATGAGCAATCTCGTGCTATTGACCTGGTTTTCTTGGCAGAACGCGACAGCGATAGCGAGCGAAGCAGTAGCTGGTTTGCGGACTGTCGCTGCATTCTCAGCAGAGGAGCAAGTCGAGAATCTTTACGAGGAGAATCTCAAGTAAGATTTGTTATGAATGTTTCAGCAATTGAATGACCGGTTACTCGTCGACAGATCAGAAAATGGCGCACAGCAGAAGACAGCTTTGGCAGCTGGCCTCGGGCAGGGCTTTTCGCTTTTCACCGTCTTCTTCCTCTACTACTGCGGGTTTGCAGGAGGAGCATACCTGATGAAACACGAGGGCTACTCTTTCAAGGATGTGCTTCAGGTAATGACAAGGATGCATCTGTTTGCTGTAGAGGAGGGCAGGAGAGAGTTTGAAAAGGATGTTGAACAACTTCAGCTTGATAGCTCAAGTCTCATGTCAGGTGTTCTTCACGGTAACGTTTCTGGGCATGGCAGCTGGCATGGCTGGAGCAGTCGCGCCAGACATCGCCAAGGGAAAGCCTGCTCTGATTTCCATTTTCAAGCTGATCGACCAGGTAGCTGATTGTGAGAAGACAAGGAGGCTAATGGCATCTACAACACCAACAGGAGCCGAAGATCGATGTTAACGATCCTGCTGGCCAGAAACTCCAACGTGTAACGGGAAAGATCGAGCTGAGGGATGTATCCTTTAATTACCCAGCTCGTCCGGACGTGAAAATCTTGCAGAATCTGAATCTCAGTGAGTGCTTCCTGTACTGATATTCTCTTTACCCTCCTGGCCATCAGCCATTCCTGCCGGGAAGACATCAGCGCTTGTCGGGGGGTCGGGCAGCGGAAAAAGCACCATCATCTCCCTTATCGAGCGCTTCTACGACCCTGATAGCGGCAAGGTGAGTGTAGAGGTGAAGGAGAGCGATGCACAGGCTCAGTACTAGGCAGATCCTGCTAGACGATGTTGATATCAAGCAGCTCAACTTGTCGTGGCTACGGTCGCACTTGGGGCTTGTCAGCCAGGAGCCGGTAAGAAGTGGGTTGGAGAGGGAGAGGGAGAGGGAGAGGGAGAGGGAGAGGGAGAGGGAGAGGGAGAAGGGGAGCGAAGGAGGGAGAGAGAGGGCAAGAGGAGGGGGAGGAAGGAGCAATGGAGAGAGCTTGGAGAGAGAGAGAGAGAAAGAGGCAAGAGGAGGAAGCGAGGAGCGAGGACTAGATCCAGTAGGGAGGGAAGGAGGAGAAAGAGGAGGGGGGGGCGAGGGAGGAGATAGAGATCGAGACAGGAGAAACCCAGAAAAGAGCCGCAGAGGATGGAGAGGCTAGAGAAAGAAGGGAGGGAGGGAGGGAGGGAGGGAGGAAGAGAGGAGGTTGAGCGCAAAGGGAAAGCAGGATGTTACATTAACAGGAGGTTGTAAGATATTGTTTGCCACTTCCATCTTTGAGAACATCCGATACGGAAGGTCGAGCATCTGATGTAGGGACCCAGTTGACCAGCTAGCAGGGAGGACGCGGGGGAGGGGGAGGTGATTGAGGCCTCCAAGAAAGCCAACGCGCATACCTTCATCATGGAATTTCCTGGCCAGTTCGAGACGCAATGCGGAGAGAAAGGAACGCAGATGAGCGGCGGGCAGAAGCAGGTGATCTTGTATCTAACTGATCTCACACTGATCTCTTGCATTTTCCTCTTCCTCTCCCCTCGTCCTCGGCAGAGGATCGCGATAGCTCGTGCCATGGTTGCAAACCCAAGCGTGCTGCTCCTGGATGAGGTGAAAGCTGTTCTTGCTGTCCTGTTCCAGCTGATCCTTGAGCTGACAGGCAACGTCCGCGCTTGATTCGCAAAGCGAGATGCTCGTACAAGAAGCTTTGGACATCCTCATGGTCTGTTGGAACATGCGGCTCTTGGTATCATGTCTGAAGGTGTTGCTGCAGGTTGGAAGGACAGTTGTTGTCGTGGCTCACAGACTGTCAACCATCAAAGTAAGCAAGCACCCGTCGTGCTCCAACATGCGCTTATGTTGCATCAGAATGCAGACAAGATCGTCGTCATGTCGGGAGGAGAGGTTGTTGAAGAGGTGATGCGATATCAGAAGTTATCTCTCTCATGGCTGAAACTGAGCTGATTGGACCAGGGCAAACATTTTGATCTGCTTGCTAACACGACTGGACCGTACGCGAAGCTCATCGCTCATCAGGCAACTGATGTCACTCTAGAGACCATTTTTGATGAGACAGACAGATGCAAGCATGATTCGGCGAAGACCTCTTGACAGGAAGAAAGTGAAATGAAGCACGGGAGAGAGAGAGAGAGAGAGAGAGAGAGAGAGAGAGAGAGAGAGAGAGAGAGAGAGAGAGAGAGAGAGAGAGAGAGAGAGAGAGAGAGAGAGAGAGAGAGAGAGAGACAGAGACAGAGAGAGAGAGAGAGAGAGACAGAGAGAGAGATTGTTTGTTTGTTTGTTTGTTTGTTTGTTTGTTTGTTTGTTTGTTTGTTTGAACCACCAACACTTGCTCCGCAAAAGCTGCTAAACATACCAAGCTCACTCCCTGCCAGTCAGCCAGGAGAACTTCTACCTGTGCCCTTTGCAGGAGCCGAGCAGGAATCGACCATGCCCTACTTGAGAGATTGAGCTCCTGCAAGCTGGAGGAGGCGGACAGGCTCTGTCTCGTCGATTTCCATAGCCGCTCCTCTGTCGTCCTCGTCCCTTAAAGCAGAACATGTTTCTTACTGCAGTCACACCGCATTTCTCCTCCACCCTGGCACCCAATGAAGGAGTTCCTAGGAGGACGGCAATGAAACGCAGGGTCCCCGTACACCGCCTCCTGACTACACCCATCCCACTCCGCCGTCAAGCTTGCTCCACGGTGGTTTGCTCAGTTCCAAAGAAAACGCAAAGCCATCTGTATCTGCAGCGATGGGAGGGAAAGCCTTAGTTGGATAAGGGTTACGTAGCTAGCGCGATGATCCGAAATCTTCTGTTGTGCCGACGGAGCTTCCGGACGTTGTTGTAGGGATGAATCTTGGTCACGTATATTACCCTTCGCATTACACCAACTCACATCCAACCGAAGATGTTTGCTGATTGATATGCGAGAACCCCTTTAGATAGATCAACAGGCGAGAATTGAGCACAGAGCGATAGTTCTTAGCTATGAAATTCTCGACTAAATACAGGGTCATGAAAGTTGCATTGGCTCACTGCAGAAAGCTTACGGTGCGCCGGCCTCGTTGAGGAGGGTCATCAGACACTCTTTTTCAGTGATACCTGAAAAAGCATGAACATCAACCAATCAACTGAGTAGATTGCGATTTCTTACGAGTGGACTTGGACGTATCACAAGCGTAATTGCCCGTACAACAGCTCGTCTGGGCAGCAGTGGCTGTCAACGCATGAAGGCACCCAGTATGCTGCGATGCGGAATGTTTTCAAGGTCTTGCAGTCGAATTCAGTGTGATAATCTCTCAAGCCACCCAGCACAGTTCCCTGGTCCCGGACAGAATTGTCGCTGGAAATCGCAGCTGCAGCCGCGCCTGAGGCAAATATACAGGTAGAGAATCATCGGACGCTCTTTGATCGCTCCCACACAGCCAAGGATCGGAATGAAGAATATGAAAACCCCGACGAAGACAAAGGCGATCGCAGTAGGGATCGAAGCACGGCCTGGAACAGTTATGCACAGGTACAACCTGCAGTCTAAGAATCTCTCAAACTCTTGCACAGAGATGAATGAACCAACTCATCGTAGGTCAAGAGGCTCTGCCCACCTCCTCTAGTATTCTCCCCTTCCGCTATCCCTTTCCTCTCCCAGCCCTCCTTCAGCATCTCCCTCCCTGACCCCTCCACCCTCTTCCTCCCAGCGACGCAGGAGGCAGAGGAGTGCAGATCACGGGTAAGGCACCAGAGATGATTTGGTTTTGTACAGATCAGTAAAGAGAGGACGCGCGTATGGAACCTTGTTTGCTATGACACAATCACAAGCGCTGAGCTCCCGGCGAGATGTACCAAGACGAGCATGCGTCATCAGCGCGTGTGCTGGAAGGGACTTGTAGGAGGTTGACTGCAGACTCGACTCGATCGTCAGCCTTCGGCGCCCTCGGCTGCCATGTTGGTCGACGGGCGTGGTGATCTCCGACGTCGTGCGACAGCTACTGAGTGTTGCGAGGTAGCCTCCGTGTCTTCAAGCTCCTCAGCTCCCTCCTGACTCGCCTTCAAGTCATCACTAGCCTCTAGTAGCCCGCGGCTTGCCCTCCTATCCGCTCAATACGAGTCCGACTGAGTCACTGGCTGTAAATCCTTATTGGCCCGCCGGCCCCGGGCCGGCTGTACACCGCCGGGCCGTGGCGGGCCGGCGGTGTGATGGAACACAAGTTTGTTAGACTTGTACTAGTCCAAAGTCACGCAGATATCACATCGACCTTAGTTGTAACAAGACAGTTTTTGCTCAAGACCGAGTTTAATGCACACAAAACCAGTATTAAGGAGCACATGAGAGATAGACTGTATGCTAGGATGTGAAACCCAAGCATCCAGACATGAGAGGACCTTAGCAAGACGGCTAGGAAAGCCCCCTCTTCGTCCCACACGCTACATTGGCCGCCTTGACACGTCAGTCGTCTTGGTTTACAGGAGAGTTTTTGTTAACTCGGCGCTATCTGACTGGCACGGCTGGCATACGTTCCATCACGGTGTGATGCACTTGAAGGCGCCCTGCGGGTATTGGTAATACGCAATAAGAATGCGCAGTCTTTACTCGGTCGGAAGTTAAGTTAAAGATCAGTAGCTGATACCTTCACTTAACTGCGCGCAGGACAATTCCCCCCCCAAAGTCAGGAACAATGAGAAGGAAAGGAGCTCCTATCGAATCTTTGTTTGTCGCTCTGAGTTTACTTTCACAAGCCAGTGCCTAAAGCCCTCTACGTACGTGTAAGGTGACCCACTGCAAACGTGATCGGACTGTAAGCCAGTCGCAAGGTGACCCAGTAAGCCAGTCGCAAGGTATCGCATGGCCCGCAAGGCTGACTGTCCTCGAGGCCTTTACACCAGCCTCCTCCTGCCCCTTTCTTGGCACTAGGATATCCCCCCCACCCCACCCCTCCCCGCACGTGACCTCCGCATCGAGTTTTTGGTTTTAAGGAGGTTTTAAAAAGACTCTCGCCCCCTTCGGAATATTCTACTCTGGTCCCTCGCTCGCTCGCTCCCTCCCTCCCTCCCTCCCTCCCTCCCCCTCCCATGCGCTCCCAGCCCTCCTTCAGCATCTCCCTCCCTGACCCCTCCGCCCTCTTCCTCCCTGCCGCATCCTCTCCCTCCCCCTCTCGCCCCAGGCTCAGGCTCTCTGCCGCACTCGTCCCTTGCTCGCGGCCAGCGACGTCCAAGCCCCCGACGAGCATCAACGAGGAGGCCTTCTGCCTCAGCAACATCCTCGCGGCACGCAAGCGCGCCAGGGGGCAGGGAGCTCTGACGACGGGGAGGCTGCGGAGGAACGTGTCAGCGCAGGACGTGACGGAGGGGGCAGCGATGCTGCTGGAGGGCAGGGAAGAGGACGTGGTAAAGGAGGAGGAAGAGGAGGAGGTAGAGAAAGACAAGAGGACGTGGTAGATGATGAAGAAGAAGGTGATGATGATGAGCAGGAGGAGGGGGTAACTTAGGCACCAGAGATGATTTGGTTTTGTACAGATCAGTAAAGAGAGGACGCGCGTATGGAACCTTGTTTGCTATGACACAATCACAAGCGCTGAGCTCCCGGCGAGATGTACCAAGACGAGCATGCATCATCAGCGCGTGTGCTGGAAGGGACTTGTAGGAGGTTGACTGCAGACTCGACTCGATCGCCGCCGAGCCTTCGGCGCCCTCGGCTGCCATGTTGGTCGACGGGCGTGTTGACCTCCGACATCGAAGTAGAGACGTACAGCTCCTCACAAGCTGATACCTGACTCTCATCGGGCTGGCTGCTGCTGCTGCTGCTGCTGCTGCTGCTGCTGCTGCTGCTGCTGCTGCTGCTGCTGCTGCTGCTGCTGCTGCTGCTGCTGCTGCTGCTGCTGCTGCTGCTGCTGCTGCTGCTGCTGCTGCTGCTGCTGCTGCTGCTGCTGCTGCTGCTGCTGCTGCTGCTGCTGCTGCTGCTGCTGCTGCTGCTGCTGCTGCTGCTGCTGCTGCTGCTGCTGCTGCTGCTGCTGCTGCTGCTGCTGCTGCTGCTGCTGCTGCTGCTGCTGCTGCTGCTGCTGCTGCTGCTGCTGCTGCTGCTGCTGCTGCTGCTGCTGCTGCTGCTGCTGCTGCTGCTGCTGCTGCTGCTGCTGCTGCTGCTGCTGCTGCTGCTGCTGCTGCTTCTGCTTCTGCTGCTGCTGCTGCTGCTGCTGCTGCTGCTGCTGCTGCTGCTGCTGCTGCTGCTGCTGCTGCTCAGGAGTCCGCATGAGGTGTGACGGTAGAGCAAGCCTACTCTTCTCCTCTCTCCTCCCTGTGCGAGGGTCTGGTATAAGACACATCGCACATTGAGACGAGGCCGCTCCGAGCCCACCAGCCAACTTCATCCGTTGGAGGAGGATCAGAGGGGACTAGCGCCAGCTCGATCAGCTCGCAGAGGTCGATCTCAGCTTGACAAGGGTCAAGCAACTCTAGGAGCAGCCTACTCTGAGAGTGCAGTACCACTAGCGTCAAGACTCTTCGCCTTTCAGTCAAGCCCATCGGTCTGTTTGTCCCCCAGCAGAAACGTCGGGACGCGGGCCCGAAGGCGCTGCATGTTTGACCTCCGCATCTCTCAGATCCCAACTGGCGCGATTTCGAGTGTCTTTTTTAGCTCGCTCTCTCTTGTTCGCCTTCTTCAAAACCCCGAGAAGCTCGCTCCTGTGTATCCTGCTCCCTACCTGCCTCCCTCAATCCTCTCCGCGCTGTACGGATCTCAACATCTCCAGCTTTCGCTTTTCCGTCACCTTGATTCCTGCTGCTCCTCTCCGGGGGGCCTTCCTTCCCCTCCCATGCGCTCCCAGCCCTCCTTCAGCATCTCCCTCCCTGACCCCTCCGCCCTCTTCCTCCCTGCCGCATCCTCTCCCTCCCCCTCTCGCCCCAGGCTCAGGCTCTCTGCCGCACTCGTCCCTTGCTCGCGGCCAGCGACCTCCAAGCCCCCGACGAGCATCAACGAGGAGGCCTTCTGCCTCAGCAACATCATCGCGGCACGCAAGCGCGCCAGAGGGCAGGGAGCTCTGACGACGGGGAGGCTGCGGAGGAACGTGTCAGCGCAGGACGTGACGGAGGGGGCAGCGATGCTGCTGAGGGGAAGGAGACAACAGTGAAGTCGCTCTAGATCAGATGTATCAGATCTTTATATGGGGTCGTGTTGTCATTCATACTTGCACTGGGAATTCTTGGGACGTTGACTAATTGTGGAGTTACGGATCGCAAGCTTGAAGGAGAATCGCCTTCATCTTGTTGCCTATGATGAATTCTCCTTCTTCATCTGGCATGAAGAACGGGACGTCACGGATGCTTTTATTCGATACTCCTTATTTCAACCCCTAGTTACCGTATTTCTTCTTGCCTTCTTTCTTCTTACCCTCTCATCCTGTGCGCAGTAAGAGTGGTGTTAGTGTTCTAAATTGAGTTGGTTTTGTTTACATCAACTACACTGTCAAACCGTGCTTGATCTTCTCCATCTCCTACAAGTCTTTCTGATTCAAAGTTCCTACAAGTCTTTATGATTCAAAGTTCCTACAAGTCGTTATGACTCAAAGTTGCTACAAGTCTTTATGACTCAAAGTTCCCACAAGTCTTTATGACTCAAAGTTCCCACAAGTCTTTATGACTCAAAGTTGCTACAAGTCTTTATGACTCAAAGTTCCTACAAGTCTTTATGACTCAAAGTTCAAGTTGCTACAAGTCTTTATGACTCAAAGTTGCTACAAGTCTTTATGACTCAAAGTTCCCACAAGTCTTTATGACTCAAAGTTCAAAGTTGCTACAAGTCTTTATGACTCAAAGTTCCCACAAGTCTTTATGACTCAAAGTTCCTACAAGTCTTTATGACTCAAAGTTCCTACAAGTCTTTATGACTCAAAGTTCCTACAAGTCTTTATGACTCAAAGTTCCCACAAGTCTTTATGACTCAAAGTTGCTACAAGTCTTTATGACTCAAAGTTCCTACAAGTCTTTATGACTCAAAGTTGCTACAAGTCTTTATGACTCAAAGTTGCTACAAGTCTTTATGACTCAAAGTTGCTACAAGTCTTTATGACTCAAAGTTCCTACAAGTCTTTATGACTCAAAGTTGCTACAAGTCTTTATGATTCAAAGTTCATGATTCAAGGGCCAAGTTCCTACATGCGTTCTCTTTATTCAAAGTTAAGTTAAAAATCAGTACGAGGACAATCAGGAGAGTCGAGGAGGCTTGACCCTGACACTGTCGCACAGGCCAAACGGCGAGAAGAGAAAAGACAGCGAGAACTAAACCCAATCCTGCCGCCGCTGCTGTCCCCCAAACCGTTGAAGGGAGCTGATACCTTCACTTAACTGCGCGCGGGACCGGGACATTCACTTAACTGCGCGCCATGCCAGCGATGTCGCTTGCGGGCTGACGAAAGATCCGCCCTGGACATGCGTTCAAGTCGGACGCCCCCCAGCCCACCCCCCGCCCCCGTACTACTGAGGCTGAACTGAGAGCCCGGGGCTGAGCCGCGGGGCCGGTAGGGTGACCGTGACACGGACGGACCGTACTCCCGGACGCACGGCACGGCCCGGCCTGCCTGGGCCGATTCACTTTGAGCCGACCCGCCTCAGCGCAGGATAGAAGTCAGGAGGCCGACGATGGTTTAAAGGTAAGAGAAGACGATCAGTCGGACAAGAGCGAGAAGAGGAAGAGAGGGAGGAAGTGCGAAGAGGAGGAGACAACAAGAGCAGAAGAGTGCTTGACAGCTTCAAGACATGTTCGTGCGATGGGGTTGAGAGGAGAGGTTGTGCCGAGGAATCGATGAAGCGAAAGTAAGAATCCTGAGGTTTCATGTGATGTGAAAACGCGGATCGAAGAATCCAATGGGCAGTGGCGATGATGATGTAGCGATGACGATGTAGCGATGACGATGTAGCGTACGAAATGATGACGGATACTTCAAGTCCGAACAAACAGGAAGGTTGTCTTGTGAACATTTTCTCTCTCTACAGACCGAGTGCGGATTACCAGAGCATGTCAGGGAACGGACGGCTGATCCTTACCTTGCTCTTCGCTCTGTGCGTGCTGGACCCAGCATGCGAGGCGTTCACCAACCTCTCGGTGAGAGCGCTGCTCTATCTCCATCCTCCTAGCTCTCCTGACGTGAGCAGAAATACAATGTAGGACAAGGAAGAAGGACCGCGATAAAGCAGCAGATCTCCTACCCTCGACCAGCAAGACGCAACTTGTTTTCACGACTTGTATGCTACTCTACTCTGACCGTCTTGGAACGCTGACACGCTCACGCTGACATAGAAGTCCTCTCTGCCTGTGGCTGCTCCATGGGCTGAAAACATCGCCAGCTCCATTGCGCAGGTCCTGCCTGATCCTCTTGCTCAAGATGTCGCCTGCACTATGTTGGGAGTGAGTGTCAGACGAGGATGTGAGAGGTGCTGTTGGAGGTTGTGGTGATGTTTGTGTCAAGGTTGTTGGAGCAGGAGCCTGGCTGGCGATCTGGAGCAACCTGGCCAAGTATGGGATGATCGACCCTAAAGTGTCGCGCAAGGTTCGTGATTACCCGGAAGAAGTGATGGTGGTGGTGGTGATGATGATGAAATGGAGGAGGAGGAGCAGCAGGAGCAGGAGCAGCAGCAGCAGCAGCAGCAGCAGCAGCAGCAGCAGCAGGAGGGGTTTGGGGTGAGGAGGAGATTGTTGAGGTAGAGGAGCAGGAAGACTTTAATGATGATGAAAATGCGGGATGACAAAGTTAGAGACGGAGACGAAGATGACGTTGTCTGTCAGATTGTTCATTGCGGGAGTGGACCTCTCTTCCTCCTGACCTGGCCTCTTTTCTCCTCTTCGCACACAGCTCCTCTACTCGCCTCCATCGGTCTTTCCGTCCAGTCCGCAGCCGACTCTGACGAGCTCCCTGCAGTCCCGACCATCAACGCTCTGCGCCTTGTGAGCGCGGGAGGAGGAGTAGGAAGAACATTGTCGGCACTTGGATTCACTCAGGCCGGAGAGGAGGAGGGTCGAGGGGAGAGTGACGGGAGGAGGTAGAGAGGGCAGTAGGCAAGCAGCGTTCTGATGTGATGATGCAGACGAAGAGACTCTGGGTTGGTCACAGCAATCTCTCGGTCAGGGAGGTCAGAAGAGGTGAGAAGCTGTGCTGGAGAAGGGAGGAAAGGCGGGAAGATGGGAGGGAGGGGAGAGAAGGAGGAGGGAGAGGAGGGAGGGGAGGGAAGGAGGAGGGAGAGGAGGGAGGGGAGAGAAGGAGGAGGGAGAGGAGGGAGGGAGTGGAGGGAGAGAAGAGACAAGGATGGCGAGATGTTGTGTGGTTGAGAGGGAGGATATATGGGGTGAGAAAGGAGGATGGGAGGAGAAGATGCAGAGCAACTCGACGGTGAGGAGGGAGAAGGGTCGAGATATCAGTCAGCCGGTGAGCGAGAGGGAGGAGAATAACCACCATGCCGCAGGTCATGCAGGGACCGCTGATCTACACTCTTGTCCTTCTGTGGGGAGTTGTCGGCGGTTGGCAGCAAGCTATGAGCATCACGGCTATCACGCAGGTGCTGCCTGCTCTTCCTGCCCTGTGTGAGCTGAGAGGGGGGCAGATGGCTGCTGGGGATGGACTGGCGGACATTGTTGGGAGGAGGTGAGGAGTTGCAGCTCTAGAGTTTGTCAAAGTGAGAGGGAGGGCAGGTGGGGAGTAGTCAAGTGGCCCTGGAGTGACAGCAAGAGTATCGCCGGGTCGCTCGGATTCGTCGTCGGGGCATCCGTTGGTATTTGCGAGCTTTGCCTACCATCCTCCTCCTCCTCCTGCTCCTGCTCCTGCTCCTCCTGCTCTCCTCTCCTCTTCTCTCTCCATCAGATCCTCTCTCTGCTCCTCCTCCTACTCCCCTTGGTTCCGACTCAACTCCCCAACTTTCCTTTCTACCTGCTCCAGCTCCACCAGAGCATCGTCTCATCTCATCTCCCATACACTCGCTCCTCTTCTCTGCGACTTGTCTGTCACGTCTGCTCTGCTTAACGCTCCTCTCACCCTTGGCTCTTTTTCCTCAGTCATGATGGCTGAACTTTTGTGGTTCAATGCCTTTGGCCTTCTCTCTTTCAAAGGGACGGAAGTTTATGATAAGGTAAATCCTCCCCCTCCCTTACATCCTCCCTACCCGGGGGCCCCACCACCACCTCCTCCACAACCCCCCTCCGCCACTTCCTCTCCCACCACCTCCTCCTCCACCTCCTCCCCACTTCCTCTCCCACCACCTCCTCCTCCACCCCCTCCCCACTTCCTCTCCCACCACCACCTCCTCCACCCCCTCCCCACTTCCTCTCCCCACCACTACCTCCTCCACCCCCTCCCCACTTCCCTCTACCCATCAGCTTTCCCCTGACCTCCCCCATCCCCTTCCTCTCTACCCATCAGCTTTCCCCTGACCTCCCCCATCCCCTTCCTCTCCCTGATTGTTTCCTTCCACCAATACCTTTCCCCCGCGCCGTCTTCTTCTCTCATCTATCTGAACCTCCTGGTCCTGATCTCTTGCTCTGTGCTCCTACTTTGTCCTCCTCTCTTTCGTCGCCTCTCCTCCTCCCTGCAGCCTCGCCTGCCTACCCTGCCGCTCTTGCCTGACTCTTGTCACTGCTCCCTGTCGCCTCTCTTCCTTGTCCCTCCTCCCTCTCTTTCTTCCTCTTCCTCTCTCCTCCCTCCCTCTCCTGGTCTCCTCCCTCTCCCCCCCCTTTCCCTCCTTGACGTCTCCTGCAGGTCATCCTCATCTCCCTTCTCTGCGCTGCAGTCGAGCTCATCCCCCTAGACAAGGTCTGTACCAGCCCTTCTCCACCTTGCCCTCGAAGTCCAGCTGAGCTCCAGCTCAGGTCCTCCCTGGTCGTCTCGGGGACGACAACGTGACGGTGCCAGCGGTGGCGGCTGTGCTGGCGCTGCTGCTGCTGCGATGATGAAGAGCAAGCGGCGACCGTGAAGTCTAGGAGGAGGCAAGAGGGAGGGAGGCGAGGAGAAGGGGGGAGGGACCTGGGGACGAGGGCGATGAGTGGATGATGGTCACTGGGAGCCATGCAAGAAGGGGAAGCTGGATGAAGCAGATACAAGGGTGGAGAATCGATAAAAGTTACAGCTTGAATGAATACAGGAGGAAGATTGGCGGAGGAGGAGAGCGAGGAGAAGGAGCGAGGGAGGAGGGCGAGAAGCGAGGGAAGAGGGAGAAGAAGGAGGAATTCAAAGCGGAGAAGGAGGACGAGGAGTAGAGCCCGATGAAGGGGAGGGAGGTAATGATGGTAAGGAAGAGGAGGAGCCGAGCTCCAGACCTCTCCCGAGCTCTCCCACGGCTCCTCCATCCCCAAGTCGGATTGGCATGGCTTCAGCAGCTGCAGCAGCAGCAGCAGCAGCAAGACTTTCTCGAGCTCAAGTCTCAGGAGGGTCAGAGGCGTTACGATCACTTACTAGACTTCACGCGGGCAGACAGTCGGAGGAAGGAGGAGAAGCAGCCTAGTGGGCAGAGCCCAGGGCCTGATGAGTTGAAGCCAGAGGAGAGAGAGATCAGATGGATCCAGCTCTAGCGAGCCAGGGAACTCGACGGTCTCTCTCAACTTCGATCCTCTTCTCCCCTCTCTCCGCCTCTGAGAGCAGAAAGAACAAGGCATCATGTTGTATACACAACCTTGCATAAGACCTTGAGCTCAGATGATCGTTTCACTTTCAACAGTTTGCTTGTTTTGTTTGCTGAAATCATTCTTGGAATCGTTTGAGATTCTGAATCAAAGCTGGAATGTGAACCAATTCGCTACCATATGTTGTATACACAACCTTGTGTAAGACCTTGAGCTCAGATGATCTCGGGATCTCTGTTTAATAAGCACACACACTCATCAGATCAGCACCATGCTCTCTGGCAGCTGTCCGGCATCGTCATCTTGTTTCCCTACGCTACGTCCAAGGGCGTCCGGTATGAGTCGAGGATACAACACATCTGGTCCATAGAGAGAGAGAGAATAAGGCTGAACAATCGAATTCATTCCTATGCTCCGCTACTGGATTGAGACTTTGGTCAGAGTCTTCACAGTTTACACCAGGAGCCAAGATAGCACACAATAAAAACAACCTTTTTGTCGCACATTTAAAGTGGTAAATAGACAAACGTTCATTCCGAACTGTTCTAGTACACGTGACAGGTTCATTCAGAGCTTCATGACCTGGCGAAAACCTGCCCTCTTGTTGTGTTCCAGAAGAAAAAAATATGGTTGTTTATGTGATCTGACAATTGCAAGTTACAGGATCAAAAAGATTGACATAAACGCGAGCACTTTCACATGTCCTGTTTGTCAATTGACACCTCAAACATACACTCATCAAGAAATCTCTGATACCATATAAGGTTGTGATACTGAATAGCCCGATCGATAACGACCAAACCACCACAAGCACGCAAACGATTGCGATTGACAAAGGAACCAGCCGTCATGCTCGCCAGCGCCCAACATGCTGCCTCCTGTACCCCCGCGTGCTCCCCGTGCCTCTCCATCGCCCCGACTGCTGCCTCTACTGCCCCTGCCTCCCCGGCCTTGACTCTGTTTGCCAAAACATAAAAGCACATGCTCGCCAGCGCCCTGCATGCTGCCTCCTGTACCCCCGCGTGCTCCCCGTGCCTCTCCATTACTTTGACGGAAGCCTCGATCCCCCCTGCCTCCCCGGCCTTCAACTGATGTTCACAAAAATAAAACGTCCAAGAAACAATTCCCTCGCACGCTGCCTCCTGTACCCCCGCGTGCTCCCCGTGCCTCTCCATCGCCCCGACGGCCACATGAATGGCTCCTGCATTCACAACCTCAACTTGAAAAGAAAAACAGAAAGCTATAGATGCCAGCGCCCTGCATGCTGCCTCCTGTACCCCCGCGTGCTCCCCATGCCTCTCCA